ACACCTTCAAAAACGTAACCTCGAAAAGATGCTCTCTCTCGAAATCCTGCTGATGAGTGAAGCCATCGTAATACATCCTTCCTTTCCTGTTTCGAAAGTTGAGCCATAACCAATCGAGAAACATAAGGAGAAGCAAAAACAATGTGAGTGTTTTAAATCATCCGAGACAGAAAGGTGCACAATTTTGTGGCTAATTTCTTGAGGGAAACCAGTTTTGCCAACATTATCTTCGACCGACTTCCAATTGGTTCGGGAAATTGCCGTATTGAGCCCATCATCTGATCCATTGTCTGCGAAGACAAATCGAGGAATACCACCCCACTTTGCAAATAATGAACGAACATCATTTATGTTTATATCTGGATAGCATCGTTCACGACACTCTATTAACTCAGAAAACGACCACGTTGGCATATAGAAGCATTCGGGTAAACTCGGCACAACTTTTCTTGGGTTATCATTCCATTTCATAAATTCTTTTCTGATGCTCTCCCGGGGAGAGGAAATTAGAACTGATCTCGCAGATGCGTGAAATGGTTTTACTCCATCACAGATGTACCAATTGTCTATATTTTCCAATGCCTTGAATAAGGCAGATTCACCAACCTGACATGGGATAACTCTCCCACTTTGACAAATGTATAGATTTGGCACACGAACGGTTTGAATGATAACTGTATAATTTCTATTGATTAATTCAGTAAAAAGAAAGTCTCCAAAGCATGATTTGCTGCAACCAGGAGTCCCACCAATATAGACACGAGGGCTTTCACAATTCAACACAAGTTGAAGGAGTTGATGCCAGCAGGGTCGGATATAAAGTTCTGGTCTCATGCTGAAAAAAAAATATGTTTCTTGCGCTAGACTGATGACTTTGTTTTTTTCTGTTACATTGGAAACATTCTGAAGAAATTTGATAGTTGGTCCTGATAAAAATAAAAAATTGGTCAGAAGAGAAAATGGTTATCAAAAGTTAAGCCACTTGCTTTATTACGACTCACTTACCGGTGGCAATGGGTGGTTCTACGATAACGTGAACATGTTTTTTGGGCGGTGTTTGACGATAAGCAGGAAAGAAAGAAAAGCACAAGATTAAGTATTATTAGCAAATATGACACAGCGCGGGCGGGGGTGAAACAACGGCTATCAAAAGTTAAGCCACATTATCCTATATTGCACTTACGTGGCAACCTTATGATGACATGGATATGCTTTTTCAGCGGTGTGTCGGTCCAGTGGTCTCCGATATCATCTGTTGCTGGTAACTGGTCGTTGTCTTGTAAAGTTTGGTTTTGAGTAATGTCGTTACGATCGACTGGGATTTCTACTTTCCAAAGTCCGAGTTTATCAGCATCGATACCAGTGAAATCATTTTGCTTCTCCGCCTTTATGGCTTTCTTGAGTGCACTAATAGACTCATCCCTATCAATATCAACTGGGAAAGCGTACCAGACAGCGGGAGTCTTTCCTTTTTCTAGACAGAAAAGTTTGATAGACATGACTTGGCATATATATGCTTTTTTGGGTCGAATATTATTGACACAACTGTCGTGAGAAGGACAAGTGTGAAAAAAATTACATGTATTTGGGAATAATCGAATATGTAGTAAAAAGTTGCACAGAATGATCAGGAGACCAGTACGCAAGCCTTCAATGATGTAGATTTTATACTAATCCGATTGGTTATTCTTGAAAAATTATCATGTGGTGTCACGAGTAAATTACATGTACGTACCAAGTTCGGTATTATACATTATACATGTACATGTATAACGATAACTAAGGTACGACCTGTCATGGAAAAAAATTAATGGTATTATAATGATAATATCGAACTTCTGATTGGTTCGCCACAAGTTACACTAAAAAATTCCTGATGTGTGCCCGATATACTGATACCGATACGTAAACATCGTTATAACGAGTATCAGTATATCGAATTTGACTGCACAGTACTTTTTAATGGCATTGGACAATAAAACCAGCTCATCGATATATAATTTATTGGAGCACTTTTACACTACATAAGTGCTCTTTTAACATAATGATAACCGAAGCTCTATCACTTGACACAGAAATCAACTTCCACGTTTATTTATCCATCATTTCAAAGTTTTAAATAAACCACTGATTTTATAAAGTGAACTCAAAGATGAATTCTAAAATTTCGAATACTCACCATTGTAATTAATACGTTTTTTATCGAATACAGGATTACTACAATAAATGTTCAGATCACAATAGCAAATGTATTCGTTGTCAAGAAAATGAGTTCTGCCTTGGATCACAAGAATGTGAGAAAATCAGTAGTATTCTTTCGAATATCTTGCAAAAAAAAGCATCATTGCACGATTACATCCATAACAAAAGGTGGGATCATGAAGAATATAAATGCGAAGTTGCGTTGAAATTATTACAATTCAAAGCAAGTTTTTCAAAAATAGATTCTGACTGCTCTAAAATGTACTATAATGAATACTCAATAATAATACGATCTTTGCAAATAAATTAATTCCAGCTACAAAGAATTGAATTGGAACGAGAAATTTGTGAAGCGCAGTCTCCCCAAAGATAAGTTTATAGTTTTGGGATGATGTAACAGATAATGACCATTTGGTGAGCAAGTCATGGCAATTACAGTTCTGGCGGAAAGTAATGACAGCCAGTTTTTTATTATATTTTATTCAATTATATAATAAAATTAAAAAAATATTTTGATAGTGCCTTTGATCCAAGCTTCTTTGATCCTAATCAATAGTTCCATATCTTCTTGAACTAACAAACATGTAATCGCTATCTGAAAGAATTTATTAGCATTTCGAGATTTTCTGGTGCCAGTTTCAGAAAGAAAGAGATATATCAGAAGCGTTATTTTGTCAAAACACCCTAAAAGAAAATTTTATAATGTTCTTTAAGTGATAATGAAAAGGTGTAACAAATATGACAACGACTATTAAATTAAGATTGTGTTCACTCGCGTCAACTAAATTTATTACGACTCACTTACCAGATGTTTTTTTTTGCAGTTTTTGATAATAAGCAGAAAAGAAAGCACAAGATTAAGTATTCAATATTATTAGCAAATATGACACAGTATGGGTGGGGATGAAATAACAGCTATCAAAAGTTAAACCACATTATCTTATATTGCATATTATGTGTTCACTCGCGTCGACTAAATTTATTACGACTCACTTATCAGTAGCTGAATGTATTTTTTGACAATAAGCAGGAAAGAAAGAAAGCACAAGATTAAGTATTCGATATTATTAGCAAATATGACACAGTGTGGGTGGGAGTGAAACAATAGCTATTAAAAGTTAAACCATATTATCCTATATTGCATATTATGTGTTCAGCACTTACGTGACAACTTTATGATGATATAGATATGCCTTTTTGGCTGTGTGTCAGTCCAGTAATCTCTGATATCATATATCACCAGTAGCTCATCGCTGTCTTACAAGAGTTGATTTTGGATAATGTCGTCGCGATCGCCTGGGATTTCTACCTTCCAAAGCCTGAGATCTTTGGCTTCAACACCAGCGAACGCCTGCTGATTCTTCGCCTTAATAATATCCTTGAGCGCACTAATAGACTCATCCCTACCAATCTGAACTTCGAAGGCGTACTGGACAGCGGGAGTCTTTCTTTTTTCTAGACGATAGACATGACTTGGTATATATACGCTTTTTTGGGTTAAATATTATTGGCACAACTGTCGTGAGAAGGACAAGTATGAAAAAAATTATTTGAGAATAATCGAATATGTAGTAAAAAGTTGCACAGAATGATCAGAAGACCAGTACGCAAGCCTTCACATGATATAGATTTTACACTAATCCGATTGGTTATTCTTGCATTATGATTACACACTAACAAAATATGAAAAATTATCATGTGGTGTCACGAGTAAAGAATATTAATTATCATGAAGTAATTTATTCGTATATTTATTCGAAGGATGGCTAGTCGTCAGCTTGCACCAGCTTGCCTAATTCAGATCTAAAAATATTCTTCGCAATTCGTTCCATTTCAGCCTGTTTTCTCTTTCATTTTACCTCGATGGGATCTGGCTGGACGATATTGGATATAATTATTTCTTGAGACGTGATGCTTCAGACTTTTCAATTTTGGTATTCTTGCCATACAAATCAGGCAAGTTCAGTTCACCTATCGAGTTTGCATTTGATGATGCCCAATTTTTTTGGTAGTCACAGATCTGATAGGATAGTGATTAGTAACCCTTTTATTCCAGCTTTAAGTTGTTCTGCAAATAATATAGCATCGATATTAGATTTGGCCAAATGAGATGGGAGTGATCTTTTCTTGGAAGATTGCCAAATCATCTTTGTCAGATTTTTTGGTGACATTTTGAAATGAAAATTATATCTGCCAAGAAAAAAAATCAATTATCAAACTAACATCATATCCATACTAATTTACTTATTTTGTAATTATTTATCACATATTAATAACAAATAATTCAACTATTACAATGACTGAAGATAATAACATGACTACAACAACAAAACTTCTAAAATTGTTTTCAAAGCATCAATTGTATCTTCTGATCCGTATTCACCTTTTAATCATTTTCGGTTGAATCTCACATACCAATTACATGTAGTTAACAATGAATCGTACAACCAGTAGGCTATATTAATGTATACAAATTATAATTTCCCAAGCTCATATTCATTTCTTGAAAGTGTGTAATATTGAACAAAACTATTTTCTACTGCATATCTATCGATGCAGACTAGTGATTTTGTGGAAATATCTTGTCTGGCCAAATGACGTTATATCCTCACCCTGTAATATTTGTGACAATTGTAGAAGATGTGAACATGACAAGCCCAAAAAGGTCGATGCAGCACAAGAGATACAGGAATTGGTAGAATTAGTGGAAGAACTGACACAGGTTTGATGGTGAAGTTATTCTTGTGGATGATGTGGCACTATTTAGTTTTGCAGAAGGGGACTTGGTGCAATCATAAAAGAACGAGCAGAGGCATTACAAACGGGAAAACAAAGATCTCGTCACCTTTGCCTTTTGGGATTTGGTCTGTAGAGGGTTTATAAGGCAAGAAATTGTTGGCACGTCAACAAACAGCGACTGCAAACTACAGAACTTGCAGTGTGTATCGAAGGTGGTGCAAAAGAGCGTTTACAACAAGAAAATTTGAAGTACTAGCGTAAATAAATATCTAGGATATAACGAACGCGGATATAAAGAACTTTTTATTAATACATATATAGAACCGTCGGTTCGTTATAAACAGAGTTTACTGTACTGAAAGCATTATATAATAAAAATTTGATTTAAATACTAAAGTGAAGGTTTCGAAATGTGACTACTGTATAATAGAGAATTCGTAATGGTAATGATGTTCCAATTTACAATTTACAGTTAACCAAATCCGGTTTATCGAAATTCGCTGCGTATTCTATTTGTTCCAGAAATGCTGATCATCTGTTTGGTACATGTACTACACAAATGAAATTAATCTCTACCCTAAAATAATAGCTTGTTAAAAAGAGTCATTATGATGTCATATTGATATCAATAAATACAATATAAAGAGTGCGTGTGTACTCATTTTAAACTTGAATTCAATTTCGTAATTAAATCAAAATCCAATTTATCTATTAATACTATTAATAATAAAATATACTGCTTCTTTATACTACACAAATTTGAGTCGCGAAAGAATGAGCACCATTAGTACTCAGTCTCCAGTAGCGACTCCCACTTTGCCAAGAAGCATTCCTCCGAATCCTTTTGATATACACGAAGGAATTCCAGAGGAACAAGAATTCGAACATATTGCCGAATTAAAGCGTTTGGCCGCTGAAAAAGCTAGACGTCAAACTATTGGTACAAGTGGTGGAATTGCACGCGGAACTACAGCTTCGTTGACTCGTGAGTTATTTGTCAAATATTTTCACTCGTCAAATCAAATATATCATCGATGATTGAATTTACTTATGCATATTTCCAGAGAGCGCCTTAGGCAAATACTCGACCGCAATTGGAGAAGAAATTCGTGCCCCATCTCTTGTTGTTCAGGCAAGAGTTAAAGCCGCTGATCATCCAGTTGATCAGGCACAACTTGTTCGTGAATTAAAGGTAAATTAATTGTTAATTTGCTTAAAATTTACTGCATCCAGAAAATTAATTTTTCCTATTTGTTACAATAAACAGGAAGAAGCCGAGCAACGTCGTCAATTCGAACTTCAAACTCAAGGATACGTTCCTCGTGCTGGACCAGCCGCTAAAGTTGAAGAAGCTGCTGAACAACTTGAAAAAGGATTGAAAATCGAAAAAGGTCAACTTCTTGAGCCGACATCCCAACCGACATCTGCTCAACCAATGCAAGAGATTGTTGGCATAGGAATCGGAATGACAATTGGAATAGGTAATAATAAATTTGACAGGGGGTGGTTATAATAATCGGGGATGCAAAACCGTCAATAGCATAAGTATTCTGAAACTCAAATCCCAGCTAATCCAAATTTTATGCATGCTCAAAATATGCAACAAGGTCAACAAAATATTCAAACTCCTCAACAAGTGGATATTGGTAATCCTAATGTGGTACATGAAGGTATTCCTGAAAATCAAGAATTTGAACATCTCGCCCAATTAAAAAAAGTTACAGTTGAACACGCTCGTGGTATCAGTCCAATTACACGTGGCAGCAAAGCTGCTGTGGCTCGTAAGTTATTTTGTTTCTATAGTTGCTAAATGATGGTATAATAATATAACTGTCATCTAATAATAGAAAGCGCTCTCGGAAAATACGCCACTGCTATTAGTGAAGAAACCCGTATTCCGACTTTAAGTGTTCAAGGCTTAGTAGCTCCTGTGGAACACGAAATCGACTTGGAAAAACTCATTCAAATGTTGAAGGTACATTATCTTTTGATTAGTTAATTTCAAATCTGTATGTTTATTATTTCAATCTTTTATTACTTTGACAATGCAGAAGGAAGTTCAACATCGACATGAATTTGAAACTCAGATGTTGGGTAGAGTACTTCCTAATGGTCCAGCTGTAAAAGTTGGTGAAGCGGTTGATCGTTTGGTACAAGTATTAAAAATGGATCAAGTTGATCCTGAACAACAGCCGCGAGAGTCACAACTACAACAGCCTCAGTTACAATCGTCTCAACAACTACCAGGTGATTCTGCATCGCCCAGTGCTCAATTGACAGCTGCCGGTGTTCCCGGTCTCTCACAACAAGCTGATCAACAAGAATTTGCCACACAACAACAAGTCACACCTCCTGCTTCACCAGCACAACATGTTAGTGTTAGTAGTGGCGGACAAGGAATCCAACAATTTGGCGAAGGTACTCAAATACCTTCAGGTCAGGATAAACAAAGTGCTGCCGAACAAGATGCTAAACACGAGGGAATTTCTCAATCTCAAAAAAAATTAGAGAATTTAACTGAATCGAAAAAAATCTCAAGTGGCAGTACGGAAGGGGCGGTACTCCCGCAAACCACCATTCAGGGTGATGCTAATCGTGAATATACAGACGAAAGGTAGAATTAACTGATAAATCAAGGGTAAAAAATATTTGTTTCTCTTGATTTTTATTTTTGTTATTTTCTCTAACTGCTTTATTTTATTAGTGCGAAGCCCAAAGTCGAGAATTCGTTAGCAAATATCCTTATTGTTATAGATACTCTAATAAAATGTATTGTCAAATATGCAACTAAAATAAATACACATGATATCTTAATTATTTGATTCTACTTGTAAATTGGTTACTACAATCACATTTAATAAATATTAATTATATATACAGTCAAACGAGCCGTTATTTGAACCTTGATCTCTATCGCTAATTGTATAGTACATTTTTTGGCCTTCTTTAACTTTAGCGTTAGCGTTAAAGGAATGTAAATTTACACATTTTTTTCTCGATAAAAATGCCCAAAATAGGAATCTGAGTTATATATCGTTATCGTTATTATCAAGGAATCTCAGACGAGGTTTGCTATAAATATGATATCAAAAAGAACCACCGAAGTATTAACGTTAATTATTTTTTTCCAATTTGACATTCCAATTTCCAAGAATATCTTTATTCAATTGTTTGTTGGTCAATCGACAATTTTACCAAGAAATTGTGACGAATTCATATGTCATTATGAAAACATTGCAAGAGTTTATGTTGGAAGTTTCTCAAAAGAAACATGGAAGTATTTGCGTTCTAACAAAATTGGTCGACAGCAGGTGCATGGTTAAAGCAAAACTAAAACCTGTATTGTTTGACCCAAAAACAGTTGAATAAACGAAAAGCAATAACGATGTCCATGCCATGTACAAACTTTATTAACTGGCTTTTTTACGGTCTTTAAAGATTGGTTTGTAAATGACCAGGAATTCTAGAGTTTGATCCCTAAAGAATCTTCAGCTCAAAAAGTTATTTGGAAATTTAAAAATCTACGAATTTTCATTAGCGTTGAGAAAAATTGAAAATCTGGTCATTCGATTCAAAGAATCGCATTTGACGGTCTTTTTAGAAAAATCACGACATACAAAGGAATTACGTTGTCGCTTATCGAAAACTACATTGTATATATGCTATAATTTTTATTATCGTTATTACATTATTACCGTAAATGGCCATATAAAAGACCCCCGGGGTCTAAAGAATAAGGAAATGGTTCAAGATTTAAAAAAAGAAATAAGTAGATTAGAAAAAGAAATTAAAGAGTTGAAACTAGAACAACAAAAACACAGATACAAATACCTTACACGGAATACTGCATAAATATAACTTTTCTACTTTTATTCGGCTTTACATAATAGACCTGGTTTTATTAAATTTGCTGTGCTGTGTTAATAGCCGAGATTTTGCAGGTGGGTCCACTATTAGAGGATGGCCATTTACGGTATAAATTGAATGGGTCTAATAAAATTTATTAGAAATAGCACAAATAAATCTTTGTTGCAACTTCCACTTCCCGACTGATTTTCATAATTAGAATACATCGCAGCTTCTCAGCAATTAAGAAATCGAAGAAAGAGTTCTTATTTGCTTTGCTACTTGTTAATTGGCTTATGATTGCTTTTTTTATATGCTACTTTATAGTTGAATTTAATTAAAATGACATCTCAATATTTAATATATATTGATAAATTTATATGTTTATTAATAAATTATATATATTGATATTCTAAATTATAGATATTATTAAAAATTATTTTTATTAATAAAAATTTAAAATTATTTACTAAATAAGATAGCCAATGTTATTAAAACAAATAATTTTTAAGTTGAAATAAAAAATTATTTAAAAATATTTTTAATAAGCAATTTTTATGAAAATATATTTCATAATATAAAGAATATATCTATAATTTAAAAAAAATTTTCAGTCTATTTTTATTTAATAAATATCATTCAAAAAAAAGCTTTATTTTAATGCCTTTTTTATATGATGAAATATATTTTCATAAAATTGTTTTCAAAACTGCTCATTAAAATAATTTTTTATTCCAACTTAAATGTTAAAATTTTAATTCATCTCTTTTGACACGAAATTTTACTATATTAACATGCTTTGTGATATTAAGAAAACCTGTTCCTAACATCCTAAAGAATATATCTATAAATTTTCACGATTTTTGAATGATTCCTCATTAAGATATAAGCAAAAAATACATTCATTATAACTTTCACCAGGGACTGTACTTACTATATGTATTTTAATTTAAACTTATATTAGTAAAAATAATACAATTATAAAAAGTATTTTTATTTTTAGTTACTTAATAATTTAAAAAAAGTATAACTATAAACAAGTATAATTATAAATAAATTTAATTATAATAATATATAGTCTGGTGAAAAATATTAATACATGAAAAATGAAAGTTAATAATTACTTCTAATAAAAGTCATACAATATATAATTAATATTTATAATTTTTTTATATTAA